ATCAACCAGACATATTCAAAATTACGGTATATTTGCCGTGACGAAAGTTTTTAATTATGAGTAATCTTCAAACTCTTTGAAATAAATAATATATATATATTATATAACTATATATATTTAAATAAGTTCACTGAACTCATTTTTTTATCTTTTTCACGATGTTTCTCTCTCTTCTCTCTTACTAATTTGGCCTTAGTCAGGTGATATACGTTGAATCTCGAACATGGCCCTTTATTTAGTCAACTGGGGTAGATTTTTTATTTCCATAGCCTCAAGCAAAATAAAAAGTCAATGGTAAAAAGTAATCCAGTGTTTTGAACAATTCAATTTGCTAAGCCACAAAAGGTGAACAGAAATTTGAAGAGTTGTGTTACTTAAGAATTAACTGAAACTGGGATAAAGGAGAAAAAGGCATGGGACGAAAAGAAAAATCTAATGGCCTGGATCTCAAAATATTTTCAAGTTCTGAAAAAACAACGTATATTACCTGAAGAAGGCCAGATCTTTTTAAACAAAAGAAACATCGAGAATATGAGAATAAAAACGAGGACAGCAGTCGGAAAATATATATATATATATATATATATATATATATATATATATATATATATATATAAATTCATGAATCATTCATACAAAAACAAATATAGAGGTTAATGATTTAAATGGCGAGAATACATCTTCGCAAACAATATAAATAAGATACACCAACCCCGAACCTGTATATGAATGATATGATCCCTGTTTATAAATTCCAGTTGCATAAGGTCTTTTTAATTTTTTAAGCTTTCGTCTGTTCCTACAGACATCCTCAGGTATGGAAATAGATTTTGTTCTTTTTTTTTTCTCGGTAATAAGAGGACAACGAAAATAGAGATGTAATCCGAAAAAAATGCTATGAGAAATGTGTTATTGTTTTGGAACGTGGGTCGCAACGCTGAGTTTGAATTTAAATTTTTTAAGGTTGTGCGTTTTTGTACAAAAGAAAAGAATTTTTTTTACTGGTAGATTTTCTGTCAATATGGCATGAACTATATTGTTCAATAATTACAGTAATAGTCACATATATATTTGTTTTTTTATATGAATGATTCATGAATTTATAAATTATAATTGCACCTTTAATTGATATATATATATATATATATATATATATATATATATATATATATATATATATATATATATATATATATATATATATAAATATAGAGGGGAAATTGTATTATTTATAGACTTAAATTTATTTTGTTTTTTGTTTAAATTTCCCTCAGGGAAATTGATCCCTATTTTGAGCTGTGATTTGTTTGTCGCCCTGAAGTAGACGAGCCGTGATGCAAGGTTGGAATAAAAACCCGCTTCCGATGTTGAAGTTTGATCGTCGGTCGGGCGATGCTAGGAATTAATTCATCCTGAATTAATCAATTTTTTTTCTCATACGCACCAAACCAAAACATCGATCCTGCATTCAACGCTTACTGCATTCAGATTTCCCACTACTGCTGAGCGAGTTAAGTCTTAATTATTATTCATTATCTATATATATTTGTCTATCCAACGTCAGTTTTAAACATTTTTGTTCTGCTTAAAAGATCCTGAGTTTCAAAGCACCTATTCTCGCTAAAAGTTAAGATTATTAATACATATATATCTCGCCCTACGTCACTAATTAATTCCAGAGGTCAAAATCGAAATAACCACACTATTAAGGAAAGCATAAGCACTCCCCATTGCTTATTACAATATTTATTATATGCACATACAGTATTCTGAATAAAATAATTCATTTCCATTTATTTCCAGCGATATAGCTTTTTACGCAGAAAATTAGCACTTTTAGGCCGGGACTTTTTTCGGGGCCATTGTCAAAAAAAAAATTCTAAATCACAACTGAAAATGTAATTGAAGAATGTCAACCAGAGCAAAGATATAAACCAATCTAAATTCAAAATCTGCGTTTTCTTTCGGAAAACACGTGGAGATGCCGCCTGTCGGTAGGAATTTGAAATATGAACATCTGCTGTATATACTGTATTATAATAATTTTTTTGTTTTTTATAGTTCTATGATATATATATATATATATATATATATATATATATATATATATATATATATATATATATATACAAGTGGTTGATTGGTGCATATGAATAAATTCCTATGACCCAAAAATACTATTCTTAAAAAGTGCTCAATTTTAGAGCAAATATAATTATTTATTCGAAAATTATAACATAAATATGTTATAAAATCACTACAAAAAATAGAATTTTGTTTCAACAGTTCTGGTGTCTTATCATTGATGGTGTTGAATGAATTCTCCATTAAGAAAGAACCATATTGAACTCAAACTCTTTTTGTCCTGTCACTGGATCTAACTTTATATATATATATATATATATATATATATATATATATATATATTCTCTGAAGATTGAAGATTGCACATAATTGAAACCTTTCAAGGACGGCAAAGTTTTGTCTCTTGAATATTTATGGATGGTTTTCTTGGAAATAAATTTGGCACAGGGGAGAAAAGAGTTGGTTAGATCCAGTGAAAGGACCCAAAAAGACATGAGTCCAATAGCCGGTTAAGGCGGTGGAGAAATGAAAGGAAATTTTCAGGAGATAACTATTAACTGACATTTTCCATCTGGCAATAACTAGAATAATCTACCCAATGAGCAAAATATTATAGTTTGAAATTCAAACATCTGATTGAATTTTTTTTACACGGGTTTTTTTTTTGTTGTAATAAATATTTCGACAAAGATGAGGACAATAGAAAATAATGTAAATAATGTACATAAACCCTTTCTTTTCATAATAAACAGATATGAAAGGCCAAAACGTTGTAATAAATATGGCGACAAAAATAAGGACAATAGTCCGAATAATGTAAATAATGTACATAATACCTCATCTCAGAAATATAGACAGATACTGAAATTTAAAACGTTTTAATAAATATGGCGACAAAGATAAGGACAATAGTCCGAATAATGTAAATAATGTACATAATACCTCATCTCAGAAATTGTAGACAGATACTGAAAGGTTCGAAATATGTAATAAATATTTTTCAAAGATAAGGACAATAGTCCGAATAATGTAAATAATGTATTACATACCTCATCTCAGAAATATAGACAGATACTGAAAGGCCGAAACGTTGTAATAAATATGGCGACAAAGATATTTGACAATAGTCCGAATAATGTAAATAATTATATATACCTTTTCTCAGAAATATAGACAGATACTTTGTGCCGAAACGTTGTAATAAATATGGCGACAAAGATAAGGACAATAGTCCGAATAATGTAAATAATGTAATAATACCTCTTCTCAGAAATATAGACAGATACTGAAAGGCCGAAACGTTTTAATATTTTATGGCGACAAAGACGAATTCAATTTATCCGAATAATGTTAATGTTCTAATAATTTAATCATCTCAGAAATATAGACAGATACATTTTTTCAATTTTTCATAACTTTCTATTCCCGGACTCGCCTCAATATTCTTTGTTGATTTTAATGACGCTATCGTTTTCATATATTTGATTTTTATATACAGTTTTTTTCTTTCTTTCAGACTAGTTCATTCAGGACTTTCCAATTTTTAATCCATAACAATTTTTACAATGACAACGACTGAAACATTGTAATAAATATGGCGACAAAGATGAGGACAATAGTCCGAATAATGTAAATAATGTACATAATTCCTCATCTCAGAAATATAAACAGATATGTCGAACTGAACCCTTTATTTCGCTCGCTTGGGTAGACTATTCCAGTTCCACGTGCCATGTCTAAAAATTTCATTTCGACATTCCATTCTTTAAATTCAAATGGCCGGAGCATTACAACGTCCGAAACGTTGTAATAAATATGGTGACAAAGATGAGGACAATAGTCCGAATAATGTAAATAGTGTCTATTTCTACTATCTCTTTCAAAAACTGTTTAAATAAATTTTTTTCTTTTTTTTACCAGTGTAGCTTTTTCTTCTTACCACACGTTTCATTTTACCTGGCGGTTCTTTTTTCTCACCGTTCCGATTACCGATTTCCAATAGTTTCTTTCTTTTTCTTTCTTTATTTTTTTTCCTTTCCTAAAACACGAATCATGTTCCTAAATAGTTTCGTGTAATGGAGACTTTCATTTGAATATCAAGCATGGCTCCAAACCCGATCAGAAATATCTAAACTCTCAGCTGCGTACGAACACTTCCTGCGATCAATGGCGAAAAAAGGCTTTGAGCAAGAAAAGCTTGTGGGGTCTTGGCAAAGATTCTTCTTCTTTGGTCATTGTGGAGTGGTTCTACATAATCTACAAACAAATACCGGTACCAAATAACAGAAACCACATGAAGACTTTTAATTTCTTTCAAAGTCGAAAATGGATAGCGTTTGAGGTCATTTTTTTCTTTCTTTTAATGACATAATCAAGATGTTGATATTCCACACTACTTCAAATAAAAGATTAGGAAGGAAACCGCCATCAATATTAGAAAGAGCGATAACAGCTACTGGACTTGAGAAATCTATTTTACTGAAAAATTGTTTTAAGAGAAAGATTTTATGAATTTCAACCGAGAGTAATACAATCTACTCGCCCAATGAATATCAAATGCTTTCTTATAAGGAAACAAAAGGACATTACAATTTCTTACATATTCGTTTTTTAAACGACTAGTTTGTTTTCTTTGTTTGTTTGTTTCTTTCTTTCTGTCTTTCTTTTCCTTTCTTTCTTTCTTTCTTTTCCTTTCTTTCTTTCATTCTTTTCTTCTTTCTTTTCCTTTCTTTCTATCTTTCTTTCTTTCTTTTTCACAATACACTTCCTTTATTTTCTTTTTTAACTTTTAATCTTCCTTTGCCTCTTTTTCTTATTTTTTACCGTCTTTCTATTTTTTCTTTATTTCATTCTTTTTTCTCTTCTTCTTCTTCCTTCTAATTCTCCTTCTTTCTTTTTGCTATTTTTCCTTCAAAATGTCTTTTTATTTTATTTTTGTACCGTTTCTTTTCTTTCTTTCTTTTTCCTTTCTTTCTTTCTTTCTTTTTTTCTTCTCTATTCCTTCCTCTATTTTTTCTTTTTATTTTCCTTCACTTCTTCTTTCAATTCTCTTTCTACTTTTACATTCTTCCGAAATTCCCTTTTATTTCACCTTTTCTTTGTTCTTTCTTTCTTTTCTTTCTTTCTTTCTTTCTTTCTTTCTTTCTTTTTTTCACATCCACGGATTTTTTTGGTTTTTTTTTTACTTATCATCTTCTTTTTTTTTGTCTCTCCAGATATTCTTTGATTTTTTTTTTTTTCTTTCTCCCAAACCCTGGGTTTCCCCCATTCTCTTCTCTGTCTTCTTCTTCTTCTTCTTCTTCTCTCTCTCTCTCTCTCTCTTTTTCTTTCTTTCTCTCTCATCTGATGAAAAAACGGATCTGAAATCATGGTCCGGCAGACGGCCGGACAAGTTTAAATTTTCTTCTTCAATGTCTTTTCTTAAATCACAGACAATTTTTTTTAGTGTTTTCATCTGTGTTGACAAAGTAAGTTTAAAAATGTGTGTCTGTATGGTCTCGGGTCCTCCTAACTCATACATCGAGGGCGTGGCACTAAGTTGCATCCAGGGTGACGACAAATGTCACTGTTTGATCGAGCGTAATAAAATAAACAAGGTTTGTAAGGCGAAAAGCAATTTACGATTTTCGACTTCGGACCTTCTTGTTCGCTTCGTCTAAGAAATAGAAAAATCCGATCCACGAACAAGAAAAATAAATAAAAGAAACCACAGAAACAGTGAGTGAATTTAGTGGGAGTTACATAAATTTGGCCTTGTACCTGACTTAGATATATTTTTTTTTAATTTGATATGTTTCGCTGATTGACTTCCGGCGTCTCTTTCTTTTTTTCAAATCTCAAACGAGATGCAATTTCCTTCATATTTAAAATTAGATTTTATACTTTTCTCTCGTCTTGTGTGTTCATCGCGTTACATCATTTCATTTCTGAATCATGGCTCTCCCAAACTTCCGGCCCCTTGTAGCCGTTGGCCATTTTTTACAGGGTCATTGCTGTCGATGTCCATTTCAAAAAATCATTTTCTTTTCATTCTTTTTAAGTTTTGATTTTTTTTATCAAAATTCTTTTTTTTTCATTTCATTCTTTTTTTTTTCTTTTTTTTCTTTTGATCTTTCTTTTTTTTTTTTTTTCATTCTTTTTTTTTTCTTTCTTCTTTTTCTTTTTTTTTCTTTTCTTTTTCTTTCTTTTTCTTTCTTTTTCTTTTTTCTTTTTCCATTCTTTTTTTTTCTTTTCTTTTTTTTTCCTTTCTTTTTTTTTTTTTTTTATTTCTTTCTTTCTTTAATTTCTTTCTTCTTTCTTTTCTTCTTTCTTTCTTTTTTCTTTCTTTTTTTTTTTCTTTTTTTTTTTTTTTTTTCTTTTCTTTTTCTTTTATTTCTTTTTCTTTTCTTTCTTTCTTTCTTTTCTTTTATTCTTTTCTTTCTTTTTTCTTTCTTCCTTTTTTGTCAAGTTTTTTTTTCCTTTTTGAATTTTATTTCTTTGTTTTTGAATATTTTTCATTCTTTTAAATTTTTTTTTTTTTTCTTTTTTTTTTTTTTCTTTTCATTTTTCTTTCTTTTTTCAAAACTCTTTTTTCTTTTTTCTTTTTTTCTTTCAAAATCTTTTCCCGTTGTTTCTTTTATTTTTAAATTAAAAAATTTTTTAAATATTTTCAATTAGAATTTAATTTTTTTTTGACTTTCTACTTTTTCTTTTTTCTTTTATTTCTTCTTTCATTTTTTCCTTTTTTCTCCTTTGAAAGAGCATTTTCCTTGTCTTTCGTTTTTTTAACCCATGGGGCTGGAGTAATGGATTTGTATCTTTCCCAATGATATTCTCGCAAAAGTGAATGCAACAAACAGATGGAATTCGAACTCGACTTAAATCTTTCGTTCCCAACAATTGATTTAAACTTTACAATTACCTGCACATCCCAAACAAAAAGATGTCATATATTACTTTTTGCTGAGATTAATTTTTTTTCTTTTTTTTTTTACACCGCCATGAAATAAACTTTTTCTGCTTTCAATTTTCAAACAAGATATCTGGATTATTTTTATTTATTGGGTTTAATTCAGAGTTTTTCCCAATTTCTATTAAATACCTTTCAAAGACTTGAAAATTTTAAAAAAATCAAAATTAAATCACTTGTTTTTTTTTTTAAAAAAATACTACGTCCCCATTTTAATCATATATATATATATATTTATATATTATATATATATATATTTATATATTTATTTCCAACCATATTTTTTTTTCTTTCTTATATATATATTTATATATATATAAGAATAATTTTTTAAAGTTTTTTTTTTCCTTTCTTCTTTTTTATTTTTTTTTTTTTCTTTCTTTTTTTTTTTTTTCTTTCATTCTTTTTTTTTCTTTTGTTCTTTTGTTCTCTTTCTTCTTTCTTTCTTTCTTTTTTCTTTCTTTCTTTTTTTCTTTCTTTTCCATTCTTTCTTTGTTTTTTTCTTTCATTCTTTTCTTTCTTCTTTCATTCATTTTTTCTTAAGATATTTCTTTTATTTTTTAATATATATATAAGAATAAGAATATTTCATTTTTTTATTTCATTTATATTTTTGGATTAAGTTCTTTCAATATCAGAGATATTTGTATGTAAATATAAAGTGTCAAAGAAGTTTCCTTTCTTCAAGAAAACTTTTGACTTTTTCATTTTTTTACGCAATCGTCAGGCCGATATTTAACTTTCGGTCCCCCAAATTTTAAAAAAAGAATGTAACTCCTTTCTTTTTATATTTTAAAATTCCAAAATATTTGGCTCATTTTTCTTATTTTTTTTTAGAACCTGCAAAGCCAAACTTTTGGGGATTCTTATTATCTTTCTCTCTTCGAAATTTTCCTTCATTGTTTAAAATTTCTTCCTTATTTTCTTTTTTTTTTTAAGAAGAGATTTTTTGCATAAAAAAAAAAGTCAATTTCATTTGTCGACTGTCTCAAATCGAATCGTCAATGCGCGAATTTCTTTTATTTCCTCGGCTTTTTATTTATATTGGGTCAGTGGTGCATTGTAATCTATTCTGGCGGTTTTTTTTTTTATTTAATTTTTTTAATGTGTGTTCCATTTAATTTGTTTTTTTTATTAAATTTTTTACTTTGTTTTAAAAAATAATTTGTTTTTTTTTTTTTTTAAGTTTTTTTTTGATTTTTAATCAATAAACAAAAATAACTTTAATATTTTCATCAACCATTGTAAAAATTATAACAATGTAATTTTAAAAATATATTTCTATATTGTCTCAGTTAAAAATGTAATAACTGAGAATGAGTCAATAAGATTTAATTTTTAATTTAATAACTGAGATAATATAATTAAAATTATTATCTTTGCTACTAATTTAAAAATTTAATAATCGAAAAAATAGTTATAAAATTATCTCATTTTCAAACTATTAAATTAAAAATTTGTTAATTGAGATATTTTTTTCATTTATCAATTTAAACTATTAATAACTGCTTAGAAAATTTTTTTATTAACATAATAATAATTTTTTTAATTGTTATCTCAATGAAAATTAAAAATTTATAAATTAATGTAATATTAATAAATTTTTTCGAAATTATTTATAACATTGTCTTAGCTACTAAATTTCTTTCAAATACCATTTTAGACAACACTTAATAATGTAAAAAAAAATATAATATTTTAAATTATTATAAGAAACAATAAAAACTTTTTAAGAATTCATTTTTTCTATTTCAATTCAAAAATGTCAATACTAAACCTGTTAACACATTCAGCCATCAAATTTCTATTTTAATATAGCTTTTCTTTTGTATTTTTTTTTTTCCAATTAAAAATTTAATCGTTTTTAAGAATTCAATTGAAGCTTAGAAAAACTTCGAAAAGGATTTTTCCTTTATGAAAAATATATTTAAACTTTAAGAATTCCGATTTTTTAGGTAATTTGATATTATTACCTTTTTCATACGGTGTTGAAAACCCCACTGAACAAAGATCAAATAATAATGTCCGGATCATTGGGTTTAGGGAAACTAATACTTTTCATCTTTTTTTAACATGAATATTTAATTAATAATTATCTATTGTTTTAAAATAAATAAAATCATTTATCTAATGTTAAAGGGAAGAACTTGTTTAACAATTTTTAAATTATTTTTATAAAAATGTAGTAAATGAATTAAGTTTCAAATAGTTATTTGTTTTTTTTGAGCAACAACTATATCTATTTTTGCATTTTTTTTTTGAATTTTTTATCAATTTTCAATCAACTTTTTTTTTTATGTCACTTTCCAATTTTTTTTACCTTGTCAAATTTCCTTATTTTCCGTTACCAAATTTTCTTTTAATTATATAAACTTTAAAAGTAAATTAGAATCTTATTTTGGTACCTTCACTTTTTCGGTATAAATTTTCGATAACTAAGATTTCAAATGAATTTTTAAAAATGAAAAAAAACATTTTTGAAGATTTGATTTTAGCTTTAATTGAAAGCAAAAGGATTAAATTTATTATTTCAAGTAAAATATTCCGGCGTATTTCAAATAGAAATTATATAGATTGGAATGTCAAATAATTGCTCGATTTTATAAAATATTCTTAATTGCGACAATTTTATTAATTTTTAAGAAATTTGTAAACAAACACATTTATCTGGTTTTAAATTCTTTAAAAATTAAATTATAGATCTGTGGCACATTATTCTAGTGAAATTAAAAAAATGTAATGTTAAATTAATCTGATTTGAAATAAATATTACTTACTTATAGCATTAAAAAAAACAATATACAAGCATTTCTTAATGATGGGTTCCTCTTTGATCTTTATTGATTTATGGAGAAGCACTTAAGGTGATGACTGACCTTACGGATGACCAGAAATGACATATTTACGAAAACTAAGTGAACGCATTTTTTTAATCTTTAACTACCTAGCAATTTTTGTTCAAAAAAACATTTTCAGTAATTATTTAATATTTTATTTTGTTTTCTAGTTTGTTTTTCCTTTTTCTTTCTTTATTTTTTTTATTTTTTTTTAGGTTCTTTTTTTAAAAACAAAAAATTAATTAATTAAAAAGTTTTTTAAACTAAAATAAATACATAAAATAAAAATATTTAGTGAAATTAAGGAATTAAGAAAAAAAGGAAAATTTTTTTTTTGATATTTTGAAGGATGATTTGCAAAGACGTTAATGATGAAGCAGAACCGAATTAAAAGTCCAATAATTGCAGTTCAGAGACAAAATTCACGCGAATCATTTAAGGATTATGTCAACATAAAATTCCCATATAAAATTTTTTTTAAAATTAGGAACGATTTTTTATACTAAATTTTTTTAATTTTATTTTATCAAATTTTTTATTTTTAAATTTTTTATTCAATTAAAGATATCATTCAGTTGTATTCTTGAAAGCAATAAAGAATTCTAAATTGTTTTTAACTTTTATTTAAATAATTTAAATTTTTTTTCCTGAAAAAATTCTTGTAAAAATTCATTATTCATAAAAAAAATTATTTCTTCAGACAATAATGTCCTTAATATAACTTATTTTATAAAAAGCATCATTTAAAAAAATTTTTCCAATTAAATAATGTCATAGTTTTATTGCATTTTTTTTTTTTTTCAGGTCAGATTTTCATTTTAACAGGTAACTGTTTGAAAAAAAAAAAAATTGATTAATTTAAATTCTCCAAAGAGTTCTGTTTTTTTAACTAATAAAATGAAAAACCACTTAAAAATTAATTTCTCGAAATTTCATAAAATTATGTAAAAGGGGTAAATATTTTAAAAAAAAAAAATATTTACCAATATTTTCTAAAAAAAAAAATTTAAAAATAATTTCATTCATTTCTTGAATATTTTTAAAAAATTTCATTAAAATTCGACAATTATTTGAATTTTTATAAGAATTTCCATATCAATATATTTTTCCTATAAATAAAGCAAAAAAAAAACCAACCCTTTTTCCGCTTTGAAAAAAAAAAAAAAATTTTAACCAAAATTTCGAACGTGCTAAAAAAGGAACAAAAATTTCAAATAATAATAAAAAAAAAACAATCTTTCATCTATAACATAAACATTTTGAACGAATAAAAAACTTTTGTTTTTTTTGTTTTTAAATTTTTTTCATTATAACTATGCTGTTTTTTTTTTTTTTTTTTTTTTTAAAAAATTTAATTTTTTAATTTTAAATATCAAAATTTATATATGTATTCAACAAAGAAATATGATTATTAAAAAATTTTTTAAAATCTTTTTCATATCTTAGTATATATAAAATATTTAAATTTTTGTTTTGAAGAAGATGAAGAAATTAAAATATCAATACAATTTTCATGTGATGAAACGAATAATGCTAAAAAATGATTTATGTATCATTTTTCTTGTTTGGCTAATTTCAATGCGTGCTTTTTCAATTTTAAACGTCGATTGCTACCAAAGTAATGAAATCGATATTAGAATAATTCAGGAAATGATTGTAAGACCGATGCATACGGATAAAAATAAATTACATTTTATAAAAAAAAAAAACAGAAATTTTCGTAAGACAAGGATGTGTTTTCTTTCCAGAAATTTTCAGTTGTATATTAATAGGTTTTTCTGAGAAAATTAGAATGTTAGAAATTTTATTATTGAATATTGAAAATTTGAGAAAGACAATATATGCAGATTATTTATAAAATTGATATTTTTACACAGAACGGAAAAATCCATGTAATACAAGAATTATCAGAAAAATTTTAAAATTTTATTTTCATTTAAATATGAATACCGTAAATATAATTTATATATATATATATTTATATAAATGATTTTTATATACAGGATGTCCATAAAGTTTTTAAAGTTTAAAAAAATTATAACTTTATTTGTATTTTTATATAGAAATAATTTGTTGAAAAGGATTAGAAAAAAAGTAAATCTATATTTTTTTTTTTGGTTTTTATTGAAAATTTATTTAAGTTTCCACATGTCCTCCATCATTAGCAATACAAAGGGTAATACGATTTTGCAGTTCACGGAAAACATTTGCCAACTGATTTACAGTAATGCCTGAAATCACATTAGTTATTTTAGCTATACTTAAAACTAGGTACATTAAACTTTTTTTTTTACAGATTATTTCTATCAAAATACAAATAAAGTTATAATTTTTTAAAAAGTGTGAACACGAACTTTATGGACACCCTGTATATATAATAAAATAAAAGGAGGTCTAAGACAAGGAAATGTGTTTATATCTTGTTGATTTTTTTAAACAAATACAAATTAATTAAATTCTTTGAAAAAATAATAAACTAATACCAAATTTATTTATTGTTTTTATTTCGCAGTTTTTAAAAAACAAACTTTATGCAGATGGTACAATTTTGAATTTGTTTTTATAGAAAAGAAATTCACGTTGTCTTCACAAAAAATGAAGGAAATTCACGAGAAAGGACTTACAATCAATTGTAATTTTTCCAGATAATGGTTGTTTCTTGAAAAGAAACTAATTTCCATTAAAACTTTTATATCCAAAATGATT